TCCAAGTTCATCTTTCCTTGTCTTGCCCAAGTCCTAGAGCCACCCACTTTTCCACAGTGCAATCATTCCTTTTTTCGGAGAACGGTTCTTAGAAACACAGTTCTAGGTGATTATGGCTTCTGGGCCTTCTAAATAGACAATATGAATAAAACTAGAAAAAAAATACACACATGCACACACACACACGTATATATAATTATCTTTTAAAAGCCGAGAATTTGTTAGTCCTTCCTAAAAATTATGTTCGTCCCAATAGGATACATTATTTAGGTTAAATTTTCCCTGCTTGTCTGATATTGCTTATTGTTACTGGTTATCTTTTATCTGTCTATTAAGCTGCGAGATCCTTCAGAAGAGAAACTTCATATTTTTTGTTATTTTTATATTCCCATTGCCTAGGAAAATATCTGGTACAGATTAGATACTAATATTAATTCCTAGGATTGTTGAGTGAAATGATGGTTGGATGAAATGATGGTTAGTTAGGATCACTAGGTAGGAGGATTGTTGGGTAGAATGGAGATTGGGTGGAAGTATAATGGGATGGGAGGATGGTTGGTAAGGATTTTGAGTAGGAGGGCGATTTGGTGGACAGGAAATTGGGTGGAAGTGTATAGTTGGTTGGAAGGATAGTTGGTTAGGATTGTTGGGTAGGAGGAGTGTTGGGTAGAATGGAGATTGGGTGGAAGTATAATTGGCTGGGAGGATGGTTGGTTAGGATCTTTGGTTAAGAGGACCGTTGGGTGGAATGGAGATTGGGTGGAAGTGTATAGTTGGTTGGAAGGATAGTTGGTTGGGATCGTTGAGTAGGAGGACTGTTGGGTAGAATGGAGATTGGGTGGAAGTATAGTCAGATAGGGGGATGGTTGGTAAGGATCTTTGAGTAGGAGGATGGCTGGGTGAAATGAAGTTTGGGTAGAAGTATAATTGCATGCAAGAATGGTTTCCATGCAAGAGGATTTGGGTTAGGGGATGGTTGCATGAGAGGAGTTGTTAAATGGAAGAATAATTAAGATAAAGGATTATTATGTGGGAAGACGCTTGTGTGGGAGGTGATCTGCATGTCTTATTTAGCAATGTATGCCTTTTTTTGTTGTACGTCTGTACTCATTGCATTCAGGAACTGTTTAAGAAATTATTTTGGCTCCATTTGGTCTTTCAGATAGTAGGTGTTCATGCAGTATCTATTGATTGTCTGAATATGACTTTCAGGAACAGGAATGGATGATTTATCTTCGGATTCTTGGCATTCCCCATAATATTTAGCTTGGCATAAATACATATTTAATATTCAATTTGACAGTAACTCGGTTAAAAAACCACAACAACATAATATCTCTCCTCTTTAGCTTATCAAGAAAACTAAGGCTATGTATTAGTTCCTTCAGTACTGAGGGTAGACTTGATTCATTCTCTCTGGATATGTATTTACCCCGAAAGTGTTCAAGTAGCGGTCTCTCCTTGGCAAGTATTTCAAGAATGGAGGGCATTGTTTAGCTTTGCAATTATTCGTTGGCTCATGTAATCAGGAAACAAACTTTCATGTTGGAAGAAGTGTTACACCACACAATTTAGGACCATTTCATGATCAGACAATTGAGGCTAGAAATAATTCTTTTAGGGGTGGATAGATGTTCTGAATACCTATGTTATCCATTTCTATTTTCTCATACTAACGAAATAAGTAGTGAATTCTTCTCTCACTGATATTGTGAAAGCAATGGAAACCCAATATTTTGGGCTATTGTGTTTTTTTGATTTTTGGATCTGTTATGTGTTCTGGTGTCTTTAGAGAAAATTTTCATATTTGAACCTTAGAAGAGAAGACAAGTGCTATGTAATGTATGTAAGAAGAAGAAGAGACAGTGCTCTAGCTGAAAATGTTTTTTTCCCAGTAATTTATATCCTAGCCAAGTGTTCTTGTGCAAAGCAACCAAGTAACTTTTTTCCATCCCGCTATAGGAACGAAGAGACTGTTATTGCTACCGGCTGGTATTGAGTAATCGTATATAGGTGGGGTGGGTTGAAGGCAATCTGAATTATAAAACACCTTCCTTTGAAGTGAAATCAATTTTTATTCTTAATCTGTGAACATGAGATGGGAACAAATAACTTCTGAGTGAAATAAAGATTTCTTAGCCTGTCAAGATTTATCTTATCAGGCTGAAGAGGTGGGATTCCTGTTAGCGACTGGCAGTTTTAAAAATCCATTCGCCTGAGGAAGTGTGAAAACAGTCTGCAGAACAAAGACACGGAGCTATTGCTGCATTGAGTGCTTATTTGCTCCTTTTTTTACATTTCCTGCTTGAGACCTCGCCAGGTCCAACTTTAAAACGTTTGCAGGCTAATGGGAGTGTGTGCACAGGGAGTATCAGAAATCATTTCCTTACGGGAGGAGGTGTTTTGTGGTGTGAAATGTTGAGGTTCTGTTGCCAAAACACCAACTGAAATAGGGTATTTTCTGTGAACTTCATGGGTGGCTTTCAGAGGGAATTCTCCATGTTATTCTCTAATGTCTTTTACTGGTCCTGGTTTTGCCAGAGTGGAAGAAAAAAAAAAAAAAAAAAAAAGAACCTTCCTCATTTTATTTCTCTTTTAACAAAGAAAGCCAAAAAAATTCTGTAAATGAAATCATGCACATGTGGAACTTTGGATGCAGCTCTAGAGTATTTTTTTTTTTATTTTTATTACCCTCCTACAAAAGAAAGCCCAAAGAAGAAAACTAGTATTCCTCTAACATTTTTGGGCAGAGGATCGTTTCTGGGCAGGGGGAAAATGCTAAAGCCTGTGTAGTGTCTCTCTCGGCTCATTTGAAAATACTCTAGGAATATAAGAGACCCCTGTGGATTCTCTGCCCCTTCTGTGATGTGTGCAATCATGTCATTGCTGGACGGCCCCCTTGGAAGCCGGCCAGCCCAGCCTCTTCAGCGTCCAGATGGGAACCCGGAGGCACATCTCATAGCGGACTGTTGATTAACCCAAGGTCATCTGGCTCTGGTTTGTGGCAGAGCTAGAACGAGTACCCACAGGTTTCCAGAACTTCAACACAAAGCGTATCCATGATGAACAGATATTTTCCTAGCCCTTCTCTCTCCCATCCACTGCATAAACAGTGCAAATAACACACTCCCTCCTTGGCCAGTACCCAAGGAACTATTATCATACAGATGTCTTCCTGTGCTTTGGGGGACCAGCAGGGCTGCCAGTGAACTTGGATGACCCTTTGGATCACCCAACTGCCTCCAGCTCCCCTCTCCCTTTTATTTCATGACTTTCGTGAGTCAGTCGTTCTATTTGAGCTCATTTACCACGTGGATAGGGGTACATTCCGTGACTTCTCAGACCAAGACAAGCCCCGTTCCATGATTTCTTCTCCTTTGATGATGATCTCTCCTATCACATTTATCGCAGTGGAAATTTCATATTGATATCTGATTCTTTGAGTGTTGTCTCTTTCCCCCTAGACTTCAGATCCTCACGATCAGTGGTCTTCTCATTTATGTTCCCCCTTACGTCCTATAGCCTGGCACTTAGTGGGACGTGTGTTTTGGTTTTTGTGAGACAGAGTCTCGCTTTGTCACCCAGGCTGGAGTGCAGTGGTGTGATCTTGGCTCACTGTAACCTCTGCCTCCTGGGTTCAAGACATTCTTCTGTCTCACTCACCACCACACAACACACAACACCCGGCTAGTTTTTGTATTTTTTGTAGAGATGAGGTTTCACCATATTGTCCAAGCTGGTCTGGAACTCCTGACCTTGTGATCTCTCCGCCTTGGCATCCCAAACTGCTGAGATTATAGATGTGAGCCACTGTGCCAGGCCTGTTTTTTTTTTTTTTTTTCCAAGGGCCACAGCAATGTATCACACACTAGGTGGGTTTAAAAAAAAAAAGCAGACACACATTCTCTTGCTGTTCTAGAACTCAGAAGGCTGAAATCAAGGTGTTAACAGGGACGTGATCCCTCTGAAGCCATTAAGGGCAAATTCTTCCTTGCCTCTTCCAGTTTCTGGTAGTTGCTGGCATTCCCTGGCGTTCTGTGGCTTGCAGCTGTGTTTCTGAAAGCTGCGTCACTCCCAGCCTCTGTTTACATGGGCGTCTGTTCACATCATCTGTCCTCTACATGTGCATCTCTGTGTCCAGATTTTCTTCCATTTGTAAAACCACCAGTTCTTGGTTTTGGGCCCCAACGGATGGTTTCATGACCACTATGTTAGTTTCCTAGACTGCAGTAAGAAGTATCGCAGGCTCAGTGGCTTAAAACTACAGAAATACATTTTCTCACAGTCCTAGACGCTAGAAGTCTGAAATCAGGGTATTAGCAGGGCCGTGCCTTCTTCAAAGGACCCAGAGAAGAATTCTTGCTTTCCTCTTCCAGCTTCCAGTCATCGTTGGGAATCTGGCAACCCTCAGCTTCCAAATGTGTCACTCCGGTCTCTGACTTGGCCATCACCTGACCTCCCCTCTCAGTGTCTCCAAACTTCCCTCTTCTTACAGAGATACTGGTCCTCAGACTGGGCACGTCGGCTCACACATGTAATCCCAGTACTTTGGGAAGCTGAGGCAGGTGGATCATTTTGAGCTCAGGAGTTCGAGACCAGCTTGGGCAATGTGCAAAACTCCATCTCTACCAAAAAAAAAAAAAAAAAAAAAAAAAAAAAAAAAATTAGCTGGTCATGGTGGCTTGTACTTGTAGGCCCCGCTACTCGGAGGCTGATGTTAGAGGATCACTTCAGCCTGGGAAGGGGAGGTTGCAGTGAGCCGAGGTCATGCAGCTGCCATTTCAGCTGGGCAACAGAGTGACTCTGTCACAAAAAGGAAAAAATGTTGTCAGTCCCTAGATTTAGGGCTTACCTTAATTCAAGATGACCTCATCTTAATGACATCTGTAAAGAGTCTATTTCCAAATAAGCCCACATTCTGACATTCTGGGTGCCGTGGCTTTCTGGGGGATGCCATCCAACCCAGTGTACAAGGCAGTACACATTTATTGAATGCATGAATGAATGATAGCGCTGCGGGCCCCAGCAAGTCTCAGCTTGGAGAATTGAGTCAGCGTGCCTGCGTAGAATCTAGAACAACAGGCACTTCAGTGGAATTTGGGAAGGGTCAGGGTCTGTGTTGACAAAAATGGGAGAAACCCTCCGAGCGCCTCACCCTCTCTTAAAAGACTCCTCAAGATTGCTGTGCTGTTCACTCCTCTGCAGAGTGTTTTTAATATGTCTATTTAAATGCAAATTTTGACTTTCTGTCTGTAATCATATAAAATGTTTGGCACTAAAAGTTTAATCAGGAATGTAATTTTATATAGAGGCAGTAATGGAGTGGTAGCCACACATAACAGAGTGAAGCTTCCCCGGCGTGGATCTTCGGAAGTGCTGGCCTCCCTGCTCCCAGCTGAGCCAGGAAAACCCTGCTTGGCTCCAAGAGAGGCGTCTCAAAGATGATTCCTGATCTCAGGCACGTCCCCTGTCCTGTCACCAATCCTGGTGCTTCATCGTCCTTTAAAATCCAAATGGGGTGATCAGGTGTTCTTCTTCTGTGTCCTCTGGTCTTCTAGCATCCTGGATAGGCCACGGATGTTTAGAAAGAGTGACTCCACCCTGCCCCAGCCTAAGATGATGGCTCATTTATCAAGACCAGGCTGGAGGCTCAGCCACCAGAGCTTCTGTTGTTTGGGAGGAAGGCTGCCAGCAGCAGATGTTTGTCCTCGCCTCAGCTCCCTGCAGCCTTTGAGCTCCATCTGCCGCGCACTCAGGCACAGCTGCCAGTGTTTCCCCTCCGTACTCACCTTTCACCTCTCACGGAGGCCAGGGCTTCATGTACCTGGGCCCAAAAGGGAGATGGCGGCCCAGACCGTGCGACTCTGGTGCCACGATCCTTCCCAGCAGCTCGCTGGGCATCTTTCTGCACTAGCCTGCCAGCATGCTGGAAGCAGCTCCAGTCGAGGTTGTTGAGCAGGGTTGCAGTTGCAGCCCGTCACTCTGGTCTTGCTGTCCCAACTTGTTAGGGCAAGAGAGTCAGATCACACACAGTGGCCTCCAGACTGTATCATCCGGTGGAGTGGGAGCAGGCACGTGTCCTCCCGTTTCTAACTAACGTGTGCGTTGCTTCAGGGCCTTTGCAATGTCTGCTCCCTGGTCCTCAATGCTCTTCCTCATTGGCCACCCCAGAGCTCAGCCCAAATGTCCCCCTTCAGAGGGTCAGCTGTCGGTCTTCCCAATTAAACCATCTGCTACCCCACCTCCCATCACTCATGGTCTCAACAACCTATTTATGTCCCTCATGGCCATTATCTCAATCTGTAGTTCTCATCTTTATATTATCTCTTGAATGGTTCTTTGGGAGGATTACTCTTCCTAGAGGGTGCAAAATGGATTGCAGGGATGGTGAGAGGGGGGCGGAAATGTTGGATTCGGGACGAGGGTGGAACTGGTAGCACTGAACTTCTTGAGAGAGGATTGGCCCTGGAAAAAGAAAGTAGCAATGGAGAAGGAAGTAATTAGACAGTGAAGAGAACGCTTCACGTGGGAGGTGAGGAGAATGGGCGATTGTGATTGTGTGTTAGGACTGAGGAAGAAGGAGGAGGAGGCCCAGCTTTCTAAACTGGGGATTTGAGTGGATGCGGATGACTTGCCGAAAATACAGAGTAGGTTTGAGTAGAAGGATGCTGTGCTCATTTGGGAAATGTTGAGTTCTGGGCCCCTGTAGAAGACCCAGCTGAGATTTGCAGGTTGGTATCCAATGGAGAAGTCATCAGAGAGGTGATGGTACTCGAAGCCGTGAGAGTGGAAGGTGCTTCCTTGGGAAAGAGGCAGGATGAAAAAATAAGATGGCCCCAATTTAGGGTGGCCACACCTCCCAGTTTGCCAAGATATTCCTGCCTTGTATCTGTTGTTCCAGCATAATTTCTAATAGTCCCCCGCCCCATCCTTTCACTCTCACATGTCCCAGTTTAAACAGTAGACCATCTTATGTGGTCACCCTACCCATATAAGAAGGTTGGAGAAATTCAGAGTTTATAGGAGGGCATAAGAATCCGCTGAAAAAAACCTGAATGTGAACAGAGTGGTGGAAAGAAAAACCAGGGTACTGTTGGGTAATGCATGTCAAGGGCATGAAATTGCCAAGGGAAGAATGATTCATGTCATACGGGTCACAGGTGAAGTCATGCAAGGATCAGAAGTGCATTGGATTCAGCTACCAAGTCTTGATGACCTTGTAATCAGGATGGTGGAAATATGCCAGAGGTGGGTGGGTTTGAGGAGCAAATGGATGATGAGGATGTAGAGACAGTCAGTTCCTCTAAGCTTTGCTGTGAGAAAAGGAGAGATGTTAGAAGAGTTTGCAGACATGGGCATGGGAGAACAAGAGACGCTTCACGGGACGGGAGGCATCTGAGTGTGCCTCGGTACTGGAAGGCGACCTGATGGAGAAAGCTTCAGGAGAGGGGGTGTCCACAGGATAGAGCCATGTTCCCGAGGGAGAGAGAGCAGATGCGAGAAGGGACACCTTCCCTGCAAACAGGCAAGAAAGAGCAAGTTTGGGTGTAAGGAAGTCCGTAGGCTTCATGGTGGGGGGGATTTGCAGAGTAGCATTTATTTTCTCCTCTGAAGTAGGAGGCATCTGAGAGGTGGGGGAGGTTGAAGATGGGAAGAAAGTAGACAGTCACTTTAAATAGCTGCATGGAAAATGGGAGAAGGAATTCGCTCATTGAGAAGACTCTTACTGGGTGCCTTCTGTGCTCCAAGCCCTGGGAATCAGCTAGTCAATAGAACACTCCAATGGGACTGGTGTTCTCCTTGGGAAAAGAACAACGATGGTGGTGGCAGTAAAAGCGAACATTGGAGGCTGAAGACCCCTCCCCATCTTACAATGAGGTGGCTGTCAGTGGTGGGGCATTTTTTTTTTTTTTTTCACTAGAACTCAACAGCTTGGGTCTAGACACAGACAACACGGACAACTGATGGTCTAGTGATGGCAGCACACAAAGGAAGGTGAGTTGAAGTTCTGGGGGGAAAACAGATGGCAGGTAAAGTTATGGACCATTCCATCAAATCTCAGTGTGAAACACAGAGCACAGTGAAGATGTTTCTTTTTTTTTTTTCTCTTTTTCCTGTGACTTGCATTGCTATTGTGAGTGTCCTTGAACACATCTCTCTGGGGGCATACAAAAGTATTTCTCTAAAATAGACGTTAAGAATGGAAACACTGTGTCCAAAGGAAAACACATCATCAATTTAGGTAAACATTGCTAAATTGTCTGTTGCAAATGCCTCACCAGTTTGTGCTCCCATCAGCAGCACCTAAAGCGCCTCCTTCACATACCCTTGCCAACATGGGCCATTATCTTTCTAAGTGTTACCAAGTGGAGGAACAAACCGAAGGTCCTTGCGTTTTCCTGTGTGTTCTGCTGAATGTTTGTCTTGGTGAGCATCTTTTTTCTTTTTTCTTTTTTTTTTTTTTGAGAGTCTCGCTCTGTCACCCAGGCTGGAGTGCAGTGGCACCATCTCAGCTCACTGCAACCTCCGCCTACCAGGTTCAAGCAGGTCTCCTGCCTCAGCCTCCCAAGTAGCTGAGATTACAAGTGCCCACCACCACGCCTGGCTAATTTTTTTTTTTTTGTATTTTTAGTAGAGACAGGGTTTTGCCGTGTTGGCCAAGCTGGTCTTAAACTCCTGACCTCAGGTCATCCACCTGCCTTAGCCTCCCAAAGTGCTGGGATTACAGGCGTGAGCCACCACGCCCAGTGAGCATCTTATTTTTTAAGTTATCTTGCTGGGAAAGCTGTAGTATACAGTGATGATGGTGGAAGTATTTTAGAGGACAGCTCGGAGAGGGGATACCTGTCAGGTTGGAACAAGGGCACCTGGGAAGCTTTTGGAGGAAATCAAATGAGAGACAGTAGAGTTTATCTGACAGTTGGAGAAGAAGGGATAGATCCTACAGACCCTTTAATTTGTGTTGTATTTTATTTTTCTAGATTTAGGATGTACAGGTACATATTTCGCACCTGCATGTATTGCATAGTGCTGACGTCTAAGCTTTTAGTAGACCCATCAATAGAATAGTGAGCACTGTACCCAAAAGGTAATTTTTCAACCCTCCTCTGCCTCCCACCCGTACATCTTTTGCTATCTCCAGTGGCTATTATCCCACTCTATATGCTACATGTTCTTACTGTTTAGTTCTCCGTTATAACTGGAGACATTTTAGAAGGAAAATGCCAGGGACTGGGTGACCTTGCAGGAAGTCAGGAGGGAGGGATCAGCACTGACAGAGGCTTGTATTTTGGAGTTTGAGCGACTATGCTTTTAACCAGGAAGAATGATGCAGAAGGAGATGGAGGTTTGGGGCTCTTTGCCAAGGTCTTGCCTTGACCTGTTGGATGTCAGCTGTTTTCTTGGACCATTGAATAGGAGCTGTTCCTCTTGGTTTGTGGCACAGATTTGCGTTTGCTTCGGTCATGCCTCTGGGGACATGGGGTCCTGTGTGCTGGGCCAGGTGTTGGGCCCTTGTGTGCTTGGGGCTACCACATCTGCTGCTGCTGCCACTGGGTCTGCCCTGCGTCTCAAGGAATTCCAGCAAGTGAACTTCATCCCATCATCAGGCGTTGAACTGGTCAGTTTCTGCATGGGCTGTTTACAGGTCATAGGTTTCCTACCTGTCTCCCCTGCTGCCCTGCACATTCCACAAAGGCAGAGACTATGTCTGGCCTGTGAACTGTCCTCTCCTAGAAAAAGGCCCTGCAAAGTTTCCCTGTAAAGGGCCACAGAGGGATTATTTCAGGGCCTTTGGGGCTGTGCCATCTCTGTTGCTACTGAACTGCCTTAGTAACCTGAAAGCTGCCTTGATGATATGTAAACAGATGGGTGTGGCTGTATTCCAATAAAGCTTTATTTTTGGATGCTGAAATTTGAATTTCACATCATTTTCACATGTCAAAGAATAGTATTCTTGTGATTCTTTTTCCCCAACCATTTAAAATTGCAAGAGCCATTCTTAGCCCGTGAGCCACATAAACACAGGCAGTGGGCCTGTGGTCTGAATTCATAGTTTGTTGACCCCCATCCTAAAGTTTAGCACAGGGCCTGTAATGGTAGGAAATGCACATGTCATATTGTAGAAGTGTTGGCTACAATGAGTTCTATGTTTCTCTTCAAAGCATCAGTATGTCCATATGTTTAGTTCTTTGTCCTCCATTTTATTTATTTATTTATTTATTTATTTTTATTTATTTTTTTAAGAGTACAGTATTTTTTTATTCACTAATAAACTAAAAGCCAATTTCTTGGTATTTCTCATGTGTACTTCATTTATTTTATTAATAAACAAAGCCCTGTATGGGAAGCCTTTGCCTAGTCCTCCGACTCTGATTCATCTTCATCCTGACTAATCTGTAAGTAACAAAGTTCCTATGTCTCCTTGTCAGATGCAACCACTCGAAGCCAATCACAGAGACTGTTCTTCTTAAGGTATTTCTTGGTAAGGTATTTCAAATACCTTTTAGAGAACTGTTTCTCAGAAACAACAGTGATGTTATTCTCGAAGGGTTCATTGTGAACAACATTCCTGAGATTTCCAGTTTTGCCATTAACTTTAACCTTCTCCTGTAGAAACTACTCAAAATTTCCAGAATCAAAAATTTCATCTTCTACTGGATGACTAAGATCCAAATTAAACTTCCAGTTGGACTTCTTGGGTTCCTTGTCTTTCCGAGGCGCCACGTTGTGAGTCAGCTGTGTGAGCACAGAGTGTCCTCCATTTTAAAGTTTAACTTCCTCATAATTTCAGTTAACAACCTTCTCCACCAGTTCTAATTGGTAGTTCACACCTGTTCCCCCAGTCCCTTGCTCAGTCCTGACTCATCATGGTCACCGGCTCTAGTCACCTGCTCCAATCACTTGCTTTGACCTAGGTCACCCCTGGCTACCTGCTCTAAACTGCCCATAACCAT